AAAGGGTAGGTATTTTGCTTTTCATTTTAACCTTTTTTAAAAGTTGGAGGACAATTTGCTGTCTCAAATATTTCTTGACATAGTAGATACAAATCCAAATAAAGGGGAATAGTCTCCCTTTTGTAATACAAATATTTCTAGCCGCTTTATTCACAAATTCAAAAAACTGGAAACAACTCAAATACTTGTCAGTTGTTAAATACATGGTGGCATATCCACACAATGGACTCTACTCATATCAGGGAACCCATACCTAGAACAACATAAATGAGTCTGGAACGCACTATCCTGAGTAAAAGAAGTCAGATGGAGAGAGTTGTACACTATGATTCCATGTATAGGACATCGTGAAAAAGGCTAACCTGAACCCCAAAACAGACCAGTCAAATGCAACACTATACCTAGAAAGAATGCATTTTGTTGTATGTAAATCCTTCCTCAATAAACCTGACCACCTTAAAACTTCTGGCAGATTGGCTTTTTTATACAGAGAGGGGGAAAAAAAAGAAAAGAAAAGAAAAACAAGTCTGCTTCTGCTGAAAGAATGGATGTGCTACTTGTGGAGTCAATGCTCCTTAAAGCACAGAGCTCCTTCCAGCACTCCTGTCTCAAGTCTACACTGGTGTTTGAGATTAGGAGAGCCTGTTCCAGGAGAGGAGGTCAAGAGACTGTAAGAATGTGAGAAGAGCTGGGGAACCAGCAACCTAGAGTGCTGTGGTTTTTAAGACATAAAGACTCCCACTGAAAGTAATCAACAGAAGAATGAAGATTTCATTGGCACTTCTGTAGAACCAGAAAACATTGTCCTAGACAGGCTTTATGGCAGTCAGCCCAGAAACCTCCCTGCAAATCTTTTAGAATTCATGTTTGTCAACAGAAAATTAAGATGCCTTTAATAGTAGCTGCTTAAATGCTGTTTCTTGTTTTCACCACAGCCTCCTTTCCTGGGGAGAAATTTTCAAATTTGTCATTATTATCCTCTCTTAGAAGTGGCTCAAGGCTGTTGTTGTATGAAACATAAACCAAAATGCAACAATCAACTTCCGAATAGGATGCCAGTATCGTATATGGGGAAGCAGCATGTAAACCGCAAAGGAAGAGTATAGTGGCAGATCAGTCAGGTCTCCAGTAAAGACAATGTCTGAATTCCTGCACTAGATCTGCTTTAAGAATATTTTATGTTTTCCAAATCACACCTGGGGTCTTCTGGAATAATGAACAGTAATACCCTAAGCAACGAATTCTTAATCAGTACTACTTTGAAATTCGTAACTGAAAATTAATCAGTTGGCCCTGATCAGAATAAGAACATAATTATGTGATAATATTGCTCATTTTACACATGGGAAACTCCCAAAGCAGTTAGGGGTCTTATTAGGCCATTTGTATTTTTAAATTGTTTAGATTCCACCTCTCTGGACTTGGTTTATGTGTTGTTGCTTTCCATGTAAGTTAATCTCTACATCTCTCTGCCTGGTTTTTAATACAACGTAGTGTGTTTAAAAGAACATTGGACTATGCCTCATGTTTGCCACATACTTGCAGAGAGCCACTGTGTCAGTCATTTAAACTTTCTGAGACTCTCTTTCAATCTGTAAGTAAGGATAATCACACCTACTTCACCACGTTGTCATGAGGAGTGACCCCAGGGAACCTCTGTGCAAGACCTGGCACTCAGCAAGTGTTAGCTTCCTTTCCTGATTACAACTGGCCCCACCTGACCTAAACACATTTCCTGCCTCTGAACCTACAACTTTCACTCAACAAAGCAAGCCTCCTGAAAGTTCCTGCCATGCTAATTCTCACTTTCTGCCTTTAGTTATGTTACTGTGGCTCCATCTCTTCGTCGAATTTCTGCTCATCTTTTAGGTATATAAGGCAAATATATCTTCAGGTAAATTTCAACAAAATGGAAGTGAATCATGTTCTTTTATTTTACTCTTCAACATTTTTTCTTGGCTGCATATTTAGGTAGATAGCCATTCCTTAATTTGCACATATTATGAATAACATATAAAATAGACTTAATGAAAATTTCTACAAATATTTTGTTACTTAGCTCCTATGCAGAAGATATAAAGTTGAAAAAGAGTCAGTCTCTTTCCCCATGAGCCCTTTATTCTCTTAGAAAAATAATACTGCATGTTTTATTTTTCACTCGTTTAAGGTAGTTTTTATGCAGTACCCTGTGTCTTTATATGTTGTGAAATTCAGGCTACAGTTAACCTTTTGCTTGTATTTTTTGGGTAGTGAAATGAAATTATGGAATTTTAATACTTTAAATAATATGGTATATGATGATTTTTAAACATGATGCTATGATTTTCCATCTATGCTATTTAAAAGTCATATTGAGGCCAGGCATAGTGGCTCACACCTGTAATCCCAACACTTTGGGAGGCTAAGGCGGGTGGATCACAAGGTCAGGAGTTCAAGACCAGCCTAGCCAAGATGGTGAAATCCCAACTCCACTAAAAGTACAAAAATTAGCCAGGCGCAGTGGCAGGCACCTATAATCCCAGCTACTGAGAAGGCTGAGGCAGGAGAATCACTTGAACTAGGGCGACAGAGGTTGCACTCAGTCAAGATCACCCTACTGCATTCCAGCCTGGGTGACAGAGTGAGACTCTGTCTCAAAAAATAAATAAATAAAAAAAAATAAAAGTCATGTTGAGACAAAAATAAACAGCATTTTAAAAATGTTCCAACAGATTGTGACTGGGTAATTGATTAATTAGGAGTTAAACAAAGGACTTAGTGGTAACATGATATAGCCAGAACATTCTTAAGAGATCAGTTACATTTATCAATCACATGAAAACTGTGTATTTAAGTACTAGAATACATGTCAATCCATGTGATTCTTTGTCTTCAGTCAATGGAAGGTAAATCTGATTTAACTATGTTTTAATACATGATGTCAGCCTTGTTCACATGGTTTATATTTGAACTCAAAGCTACTAGCTTAATTTATTAGTTCTTGGTGCAGGCTTATCTTGTACTCTTCTAGAACATTCTCTTTGTATACCATTAATTTCCCTGTCTTGTAGACTGAACCTTATTTTTAATACTCACTAAGAAAACCTTGTTTCTGAGAAAATATAGAGGAAGCTAAGATGTACTTTGTGGCAACTTTTAGTGTGGTCTGGTGTGGTAGGGAATTTTCATTGAATTTTTTTAGGTGAAAGAGAGACATAATTTCCTTGTGTGAGAAGGTTGCTTGGAAATGATGATCTTAGGCCCTTTGAGTTGCCCCTGTATCTGAGAACCTGCTGAGCATGATTATAGATCACGAGTTGGGTTTGGGTTTTCCCTAGCTGGCTGCAGAGACAACTTGTCTAGGCTCCCAGTGAACAGCCACAGCCCACAGAGAATGTGTGTTTACCCAGACCTTTTCCATGGTTTACTTCTGAAAATTGGTTCAACCACATGGGAATCTAGTTAGACTCTTGGAATTATAATCTTTGACTGGTACATGACCCAAGCATTTTTTATAGAATTTGAAAATCAGATTGGAGCTTAGAAAATGAAGAAAGAACTGTAAGAGTCCAAATCTAAACCTCTTTTAGGTCCACCTAAAATCTACCTTTTCAAGCATGGGTTCCCACCACCAAACTGTTCATCTTCACTAGATGCAACAGCACTAAGCAGAATTGAAGTGAGACATAGTAAAGGATAATTTTCAGTCCTCATGCAGCTCACTGGGGAGGTAAAAGTATGTGAAAACTTTCCTCATGTATGACCTCCTACTAAACTGAACATATTTCATCCAGCTCTTTAGGAAGATAGGTATTTGTAGCATACAGTTGATTTTATAGCATGTAACTATAGTATTTATCCATTAACCAAGATTAGTGCTATGGTTGATAGAGTGAAGTGTAGGTTGATAAATAAATGCTATCTTTAGGAATCTGCTATTATACCTAGATTTCTAAGTGTAAGAAGGGAATAATTAAGACTGATACTTTATTTGAAAATGCATTATATTTCTCATTAAGAATAAACCATAGTAACTAATGGAAAAAAAAAGCAAAAGCTTATCTATGGTAGAAAGCTGGCAAAAAAATTGCTAAGCAATGAAGAACTTGCCTTTTCTAGTTCTAACATTCAGTAGCTGAAAGCAGATCATTGCCATAAAGAAGTATTTACCAATTTTAAAAGGTCTTGGCCCATCATAGCTAGTGTTAGATTTGGAATATAGCTTTTGTTGCCAAGGTGACAAACACTTATAAATATAACACATCTTCTAATGTGCTTTTAACTTGGTATTTTTATGGCTTTTAAATCAGATACCATTAGCAAATATATTAGGTAATTTAGCTGAAAGACCATTTTCCTCTAACACTTTTTGTTACATTTCCCCAGGTATTTCAGTAAATGTCTGTTGTGACATTTTACTCCTGCTAGGCTTCCAATGTAAGGGGATACATAAAGTACATCTAGTAAAGATTAACATATATTACCTTGCCTTTTTTTTGTATTGATCACTGAAAAATGTGTAAAAGAGAGTTAAATTTGTAGTCTCCTTGAAGAGCAATCATTGTTCCTATTGTTATGTTGGGGTCTAAACCTCCTCCCACAAATAATAGTCTGGCTTTAAGATTCAATGCATACAGGAAAGGGTTTTGGATACAGCATAATAACCATACATTAACACTTCCCAAAACCTCCACACCTAAATGCTTTCCCATATATAAAGAAGGCTATGAGGAAAATAATTACAATAGACTACCTGGAGCCCTAGTATTTCCACAAGTTTAAGTTTATTGTTCCAAACAATAAACCCAACAGCCCAGGCAGGGAAGGAATTAGCGCTAAATGTATTCACTGGATTCTTAAAAGAAGGTTTGTAAGGTGGACATATTTGTCACAGCAAAGATAAAATGAGATGAGACATCTTTAAAGTCCAAATTTGCACTTATTGTTACTTTGTTAGAAATCCTTCTTAGAAGACTGTCCAAAAATTCATTCATTCTCTTTTCTTTGATTCATTCAAGCAGGAGACATTTAAGAGACATCAACCATGTTGCAAGCACTGGAGACAGAAGGTGAGTAAATCTCATCCCCCAAGAAGAGTATAATCTCAGGAAAAAGGCAGGCAAATATGAAGTATTACAAGACACTGATAAGTGCTAAGATAAAGACTATACACAAGGAAGGCATCAGGGGAGAGTCCCTAAAGAGGAACAACTCTTTGCAAATTGGTTTTACAGAATCAAGATGGAAAAGAATATATATTTTATTTAAACAGCAAAACTCTTCCAAATAAGTGTTTTACATGGTAAATCTAGAATTGCTGTTTCCTTACTGTGTGATCTTGAAAGCCTCTCTGTGCTTCAGTTACCCCTCCTATGTAAGGTAGATAATCTTCCTCATAGAAGACTGTTTATAGGGATAATGGGATGCGGGTGGTGTCGCTATTTAAATTCTTTGGAAAAGAAAGATTCTGTGTAAACACACAACATCCTTATTATTCCAAGCGGTAGCATTTTGGATAATTACCATATAATGCTGCACCTTTGTGTGTGTGTGGTTTGTTTCTTTATAGAAAGGCAAGTGCTAATGTTGAGTTTCTCTAATAACTCTGGAAGCAATTTTAATCCAGCAGACAAAACAGAATAATCTTTAGAGTAAGTTAAATCCCTTTGTATTTGAGTAGATTTTGTTATTTACCAAGGTCTTAGATAGTTTCACCACAATTATGAAAAGTGGTGCCCAGCAAGCCCAGCTCTACAGCAAATATCTGAAAGACATTATTGGGGACAGCCTAGCAACTTCTTCTCAACAGATACAACTCAGTTGTGCACGTATGGGCGCACGTGTGTGTATGTGCACGGGTGTGTGTGCGTGTCTGTGTGTGTGTGTGTGTGTGTGCGCGTGCACGCACATGCCTGAGCTTGGGGCTTGCCAGAAAGAGCTGGGAACGAGCTGAAACTGGCCAGCATACCTGAGGCAGCTGTTACACCGTGGCGCCTGGATTCTTCTCTCAGACTCCAGGCTGGCTCCCCTCCTCCTCCATCTCTTTTTCATAGTCTCTCTAACTCTAACTGCCTTTCTTCTTCCTCCCTGCAACTTGGTTAGAGATTCCCATGGCCTGAGACTCTGGCCTTGTCCTGCCGCCAACATTCTGGGACTGGCTGGCTGGGGAACGAACCCACACTGGTGGGAACATGAAGTCTCAGAAAATAAATAAATAAATAAAAATGAACCAAAGCCCTCTTATCTGTTTCATCTTTCCTTCCTCTCATTCATTCTCATTTTCTCTCTCTCTCTCTCTTTCTCATTTTGATTCTTGTGCTGCAGATTAGCCAAGAATTGCCATGGCAACCAGGGAAAATGACAGTTCAAAATAGATCTGCTCTTGGGTCCTGAAATTTGCTTTATCAACAAGACAGTGTCTATCAATTTGACCTGGGGTTTGCCAAGGCAGTCCGGCCATTCACAAATAAAAGAGGCAGCCTGTTTAAGGAGCACATACGAATCCCTCCTTTCACCATAGAAGTATGCTGCTCCAGGAGATGCCAAAAGAGCAGGGAGGTTAATAGTAAATAGTTATACGAGTTGTTTTTTTTTTTTAACATTCGACAACAAGAAACCTTACTTTTTCAGTTCAATCTGGCCACTCATAGTTTGAGGTAGTTTTCCATAGGCTGCCACTAGAATTGGATAGAATTGGTAGAGCCAACCAGAATGAAATTGTCCCAGGATGAAAAAAATGCCAGTGCCAAACCAGCAGGGGAAAAGCAAAGAACCCTAGACCCCTGGAGGCCCTAGTGCCTTTGACAAGGGTAAAAGGTACGTGTTGGCAGTGGAAAGGCCAATGATATTAATCCTAAGAAATAGTCTCTGATTACATTTCAGGGATGCAGGGCCCACTGACAGAAAAGAGCAATTACTTATAGTCATATTTTTTAAAAATTTGACAAAGATCCCAATCATGATGGATTAGGTACATTTAATATCTCAATTAATAAGCCCTCTACAATAGTAATATGTCAACTTGGTTCAAGAAATCCACTCCAGTTGATAGTCATCCAGGAAACATCTTTCATACCCACATATTAAATTTAATCTGCCACCCCTGTTTTATAAGACTTTGTATTCATCTGCTGAAGAAAAGATGCTTATTTTATCATTCCAATTTAACAGGTTGCTTAGCAAAGTTGATAGGTAGGAGTTTAGAAGATATTCATTGAATGCCTATTTTGTGTATTTACAAAAGAGGTAGATTTAAGGGAGTTACCCAGAAGCAATTTTTTTTTTGTCCCACTGTTATCCTATTGGTCTTCCTTTCATTCAGCAGATTTATCTGTCATGAAGAATTTAAGTTTCATATTTTCCTCTGTCAGTTGTGAAAAGGCCTGTCAGCTGGGGCTTACACTACAGTTTGCCAAAAGGCCTATAGCACACAATGACAATACAATCTTATATTTGTGCTCCCAGTCTCCAGATAATCCCCCCACTTTCCTCCTCTGCAGCCCGGTTATGATCAGGCTTAAGTTGCATATTGTGTTTTTAGCCAGATTTTGCTGATAAATGCTATCAGCAAGACTGAAATGAAATACAGCAGGTTTAGCTCTTATTACCAGTGTAAAACATGCTTTGCGAGTTTTGTGTGTAATATAGAGACAGTAGTTGCATAAAACCATTTCATTCACAGAAACTAAAATAGGAATGTTAATGGTTTTAGCTTTTATCTGTTGAATTTCGAAGATCCTTTATTCATATACCTGAAAATATAGACCTTTGATTAACATTCTATGGAGATGTGCCTGAGATACCAGGACATTTGCCACGTTGTTTCCAGTGTGGATGCAATTTTGAAAGAAAACTGTGCAAAGTCTTACCATTATTTATCAATATCCTCAAACACAAGAGGATATTGTTTGTGCCATTTTTACGTGCCATTTTTATTCTGAGTTCACATAGATAACTAATCTAAGGAAGATATCCATACCCCTACAGAAACTACCGCATTCTCATTAAAAAGAAACTATATAAATAAGTGGAAGCCTACAAACCATTCTTTTCAGAACCTGCTGAGTCCGCAGCAAAATGTGAAGGACTAGTACATTAGAAAAATGTATCATTGTCTTAGCCAAGGAGAGACGGGGTTTAATCATCATTCCTAGAACTCTAGATTGGAACAAAAGCTTGCAGCCTGACACCAAAATAATATCACAATGAAAAGTAAAATTGCTTCTAAGGCTAAATTGCTTCATTTGAAAATTGTAGTGATACTGAGAACAATTATGTCACTTAAATTTTTACAATTTTGTTTTTGTAAGTCAGTTATAAAACTATCGTGGTTTGAATGCAATTATTTAATAAGGGCATTTGTAATTGTTCAACATAATCAAGTTATGCTTCAATCAGGCTCTTCTCTGAGACTGTATTTTTGTTAGCATCTAAGTCTTTCTTATGATAATATGTACTTTTTGAAACAGCCAAATAAAAACCATTGTTTTCCAGAAGAGTTCTTCCCTCCCCTTGTATTGTAAAGCATTTCCCCACTGCAAACTGAAACTCAGAATTCTTTTTTTTTTCCCCTTGTCTTAGAAACTAAAAGTCTACTCAAAGCATGAGAAGGGAAAACACATTGTTAAATAATAGGGGAAGTAAAAGTTAGTTCTTCAAGAGTTTTTCAAGCTGAGACAGGGGCTGGAGCCTAGGGAGCACAGAGTGGTGCCCATGAGTTACTCAGCAGGAGCCATGATGATGTTGGTACCACAAGTCACAGATCATGACTTTGATTTTCTAAGAAGGAGGAGGATTAATTGTGGGCTGAGTATAGGGACACTCAGGCCTCCAAGAGACTGTAGGATTGTAGTTGCTGTGTTGTTCAATTTGTAGGCTATTTGGTCCACTTTGGACAGCCTAGAGAGCTATGTTTTCCCTCCAGATTTTAAATGAAGTCTCTGCTACTGCCTTATCCCTGTGTTTTACCTGGTTTATTCTGATAGTCTGATCTCTATACTCATTGGCATGACTAAGAGGCTTCTCGTGGAGCTAGGCTTTCAGCTGCTACTTCCTCTCTCCCCATCCTTTTTCTCTTCCGTGAATAGACTCATCCTTACTTTGACCTCGCTTATACATTTTCTTTTGTGCTAAAGATTCTCACCACTTTATGAATGATATCAACCCTCTTCTCACTCTGCTGTGCATCATGCTATAAAAGATGATGCTCCTACTTAAAAGCATTCCCTCATTTCAGATCAATCTTCAAGGAACTGGTTAAGTCCTGCCAGTGACTACAAGAGGCTTAGCTTCAGCCACATGGCTTCAGCATAAACTGGAACAGAGATCCCAACAAAGGCTTCACCATACAGGAGCCAGTGAGTTTGTTGTTTTGAAACCCAAATCTGCTAGTGTATCTTCCCAGCTTAAAACGAGCTCATGGCATTCCCTCATTTTAGGGTATGAGTCAAATGTCCTGTGTTCTCGCTCCCATCTAGTTCTTGAGTTTTTCTCACGTCCTTTTTTCTTCTACTCTTTGTTCTAGCCAAATGGGCCTTCTCTCCAAATCATCTACTTCCTCCTCCAGCCCAAGGCCTGTCTGCTTGCTTTTCCCTCTGCTTCTGATGCTTTCCCATCCCATCCCAGCCCAGCCCAGCCCAGACCCCATATTTTTTTACCAGGCCAAGTCTTACTCATTCTTCTTTCCCTTTTCAGACCAAACATGACTATGGGAAAACCAACACTGATGCCCTAAATCAAGCAGGTCTCCCTGTTCTATGCTCTTACAAGATAGTGGACCTTTTCTTCAAATTATTTATTACCTTTGTGATATTATACTTTTTTTTTCTATTATTTGATTATTATCCATTCCAATGGTCCTTTCTTGAGAATAGGGATTTTATCTTTGCTTTTTCTTATCTCTGTACTCTGTAGATACTCAGTTTTAATCTGTTCAATGAATGAACTCTTTGGAGTTCATAGAAATTTTGTCCCAAAAAAGTAAGGCAAGCAAATTTCCTAAACCTGGGTCAAAGCAGTGAGGTTTTGAGAGTACCCTTATATCTGTTTGTGTAGATATATACAATGACAA